GAGATAATATTAGAACTCAATGATTATCTTAATTATATTTTAGATTTTTTATATTTAAAATGAATGTTTATCTTGTATTTGATTATGTTTATCTGTAGTTAGTTACACGAATTTAAAAATGGAGCTTTAATAGGTTGTACTTACGCAAAATTACTTGTAAAATTGAATTTTAAGTAATATGCATCAATAAACAGTACTTCATGCATAAAAAATGATTTTTAAGATTTTTTGTCAAATGCTTTATAATATAGTATAGATAGTGTGATTTTCTTTTAGCTGTACAATCATTTAAAACTAGTATGATCTTTTTTCTTAATTGAAAATTATCTATTTAAAAAATAAAAAATAATAATGATGTGGATTGTTTTTTCTTATTTGGCATCTAAAAAAAAATACCGCATCAATAAAAACCTAATCATAATCAGCATTTGCAGATCATTAAGTAGCTCAGGCACTTATAAATTTGATATTTGACAACTGAAATACTAAAATAAGATTTTAGAAGTATGTTATTTAAAATATGAATCATGTTAAAGTACATTACTTTTTCATGTAATTTATAAAATGTAAATAAATCTTGTTTATTAAATTAACTAAGTGATAAACAATAATCAATAAGATTGAAAATAAAGAAAGTATTTGGTTTTATATAATACTAGAAGGGTACTCGMGCAATGCAACGAGATACATCTTGATTTTAATATTTTATTTTATTATTTATCTCAATCGACGTTATAATATGRTCTTWTGTGATTTTGAGAAAACAATGATGTTTTTATTTTTGAATAAAATATAAGTTTGAGGATATCATAAAAATTTGACAAAAATATATCGATATTAGTTCAAATTAACTATTCAAAATTTCTCATTTTTTGTGTAATTTTTTAATTCAATTTTTTATAATTTAGGTACAATAACGAACTAATTTATATTTGGTTTAATAATATAATTTCTTATAAAGATAATAATTATTTATTTTATTAGAACTCGATAATTATTCTAATTATATTTTAGATTTTTTATATTTTT